GCTTGGTGTCTGGGGAAGATCAAAGGCGCTGGGATCACCGCCGGCCTCGCTCTGTTATTATCTGTGTGACTCTGGCTCCTCAACCTTTCTGAGTCTCAATTTCCCCATCTGAAAAGCAATGCCACCGATACCACCTACTTCCCAGCGCCGACGCCCGAGACTGTGGGTTCCTGCAGCCACGGGTCTCGCTGTCACTACAGTTTTTCTAGCTGTTCGCAGGTCCCCACTTCCTGCCCGGGGAGAGAAGCAGCGGAACCTGCATTTAGCATTCGGTGTGTCCCGCCCTGCGCTGGTCACTCAACTGCATTTGGCTGAACACCGTGAATTTCCAGTGAGCCTGGTGGATTTTGGAGTGTCCCCGAAGTTGTGACACAGTTCGCGTAGAAGTCCTTTTCTTCCTGTTGGAAGACTTTCATCCCGGATACAGACAATTCCAAACATTCCAAGTCTCCAAGGCCAGACAGCGAGCCGCCTCCACGCAGACCTCCATCGGGCCGCGGCTCGGGGATGAGCAGGAGCGGGAGTCTCCCCCTCTGCCTCTCCCCTTCTCTCCGCTCAGGGCTGCGCCACAGGAGCCCAGGGCCTGCAAAGTGGCCCAACCAGAAAGGGAGGAACCCCCCCCCCAGCCCAAGCGGAAGCTGAAGCTCTCGGTAACTCTGCCCCTCCCCACGCCTGCGGGCAGGGCCGGCCGCACCAGCCGTGGGAACTGCCCCTCCTGCCAGTGTCTGTTGGAGGCTCCCAGGGGACGGGGCCCAAGGGGGGTCCAGCCCTTTGGGCCCCATACCCCAGTCAAGCAAAGCCCCGTTCCCTGGATCCCCTTGGGCTGAGTCAGCAGAGAAGGGCGCCCAGGACTCCTGGGAGGAGGTGGGGAGGAGGAGGAAGGGGTGGGTATTTAGTTATCAGGTGTCTCCCCAGGATCCAGACCCAGCTTCCCAGAGCCGAGACCCTTTGTCATGGGGTGAGTTAATGTGAGAAGACGCCCCCGTAGCTAGGGTAGGGCGGAGTGGAGCAAAGCAGCCCCCCAGTAGAGACTAGTCCAGTAGAGGACGAGGGGCTGCTGGTTCCAGGGAAAGGGGCAGCGCAGGGGATGGAGGAAGATGGGTTTACCCCAGCGCTGGGCCCCCAGCCCCCACATGCTCATCCACTGTGAGGTCTTCTCGCGCTTCACCTGGGCAGCCAGGTCCTCCTCCTCTCCATCCTCAGCCAGCGGGAGCCACAGACCCTCCAGGCCACTTCCCCTTCCCTTCAGTGGAGATTCGTGGAGCCTCTACCACGTGCCTGGTGCCGGGCTGGAGACCGTCCTCCTCCCCTCCGGCGGCTTCCAGTCTGGAGGAGAGCCAGGTAGAGGCCAAGACCCGGCGGGAAAGACACATTCTAAGTTAGGGGACAGCTGTCCCGGGTCGCGGTGGGGTACACGGGATACATGGCACAGGGTGGCCAGAGGCCGCAGCTCCTCTCGAGGTGCCGGGGTCTGTGGGGGTCCGCAGGGGACGCTGACACCAGACATTCCGGGACACCCAGAGAGCTGGGAGAGGGCGGAGGGCCTGAGGCAGACGTGGAAACGTTGAGGAAAGGCCAGTCCGCCGGGGCAGTTGGGGGAAAAGAGCAAAGGAGAGGATCCGCGGGGCTGGGAAGGGAAGGGTGCTGTTGGAAGGGGCGCAGACGCCGGAGGTCGGGGCGGAAGGCGGACACCCCCGCCCCGGAAAGTGGTGGGCGGCGGCGGCCTGGAGGGTGCAGGGTGGAGGGGTGGACGGTGGAGGGTGGCGGAGGGCGGGGGTGGGGTGGGGGGTGGAGGCGCGGATGGAGGGTGGAGGGATGGAGGAGTGGGGGGTGGGGGGGCGGACGGGGGTGGATGGTGGAGGATGGAGGGGCGGGGGGCAAAGGGGAGGTGGATGGTGGGCGGTGAAGGGTGGAGGGTGGAGGGGCGGGGGGGGGTGGATGGTGGGCGGTGAAGGGTGGAGGGTGGAGGGGCGGGGGGGGTGGATGGTGGGCGGTGAAGGGCGGGGGTGGAGGGTGGAGGGGCGGGGGGGGGTGGATGGTGGACGGTGAAGGGCGGGGCTGGAGAGGCGGAGGGGCGGGGGGTGGAGAGCTGCCCCTACACGTGCGCTACGTGCTGCGCGGGCCGCCGCCCCCTCCCGGGCTGCAGGGGAGCCGGGCGGGCCCCTCGTCGGCGGGCCGGGTCCCCAGCAGCCCGGCGGCGGGAGGCGGGGTGGGGCCGGGGCCGGGGCCGGGGCCGGGGGGAGGAGAGAGTCGCTCCCCGTTTGCCAGCCGGGAGCGCGGGCGTCCCACGGAGGCGAGGAAGGGCCGCGGGGGCCGCGGGGGCCGCGGGCGGCGGGCCTGGGGGCCCTGGGAGGCTGGGAGCGGCCGCGCCGGAGGAGGACGGACGGGACCGCGATCCGGGGCTGCGCGGCCCGGGCGGGCTGGGGCCGGGGGCCCGGGTGGGGCGGAGTGTCGTCCGGAGGCAGGAGGGGTTCCTGGAGACGTGGCACTCGGCGCAGGGCTCGGTTCCGCTCCGGCCGCCCGGGCTCCGAGCCCGTGTCCCGGGGAGGCCGGGCCGGACCGGTCGGGGCGCCGCCGCCCGGGCCTCCGGGAGCTCCGGCCCCGGGACCTCCGAGCGGGGGTTGCCCAGGTCCGGCCTCCGGGGCGCCGGGCCAGCCGCGGACGAGACAATGCGGCCCGGGCCCCGCCCCCCGCGGCTGACGCGCCCCGGCCGCGGCCAATCAGCGCCCGCGCCCAGGCTCTTTAAAAAAAGAAGGGCCGGCCGCGGTGTGGCTGTCAGCTGGGCGGGATCCCTCCGCGCATGTAAACACACATCATAAAGGGCACGGGCAGCGGCTGCCGCGCGGCGGGGGAGCGGCCGCCCCCCGCGCCCCCGCCGGCGCCCCCCGCGCCCCCGCCGGCGCCCCCCGCCGTCCGGCGGGCCCGCGGGGAGCAGGGCGGCGGCGGCCGGAGCCGGGCCCCGCGAGCTCGGCGGCGAGGGGCACTACCGGAAGTGGAGGGAGCCCGCGGGCTGCGAGCGCGAGGGCTCCCGGGGCCCCGCCGCGGCTCGTCCTTCCCCGCGCGTCGGCGGAGCGTCCGGCGCCACGGCCCGGGGGCTGCGGCCTCCCCGGGGACTCGCGGATCCGCGCCGGCGCCCGCGTTGGGTGCGGGGACGGCCCGAGCGCTCCCCCGGGAAGGAGCACATGACAGGAAATCAAACTGCAGCAGGAGCCCCCGGAGCCGCTCGCCCGCGGCCGCGCGCAGCGACCCTCCCCCGGCGCTGCACCTCGAAAAACGCTCCAGTGTCCAGCAAAGTTAAAAGAATTTGGCGGCAGATCCCTCCAGACCTCCCACCCAGGTCTACCGTTGACGTTTCGCCGTAGCTCACTGTGTCCCGAGCGTCCGGGGACCCTGTGCGGGTGGGATGCCAGCCGCCCCTCGGCCCGTCTGCCCTGCAGGGGGAGCCCAGCAGGCCCGGGGAGCTAAGAGGAGGGAGGGGGACCTTCTGCAAGGACCTCTTGAACTCCTTGGGGCCCAGGTACCTGTGGGAGGGGCTTCCTGGAGAGCGGGCCTCTCCCCTCCCCCTCTTTTTAAATTGACTCCTTAAGGGTCAGAGAGACTTCCTTCCTCAAGGTGAACCTGAGGGCAGAGCTAGGACCCTGTTGCCCCAAGCAGCACCTCCATGGGGTGGGCTGGATAAGCGCGACCTTTCTGCGTGTGTTGAGGTCCTACTTGTTGAATGTCCTCTGTCCTCTTCTGGGCAGGACACCAGGCACTCAACCTGCCCCCTCCCTGCCGCCTCCCCAGTGCTCACATCTCTTGGTTACTTCGCTGTGCCTGCATTGCTTGCTCTGCAAAATGGAGAGGATAGCAGTGCCCACCGCACAGGACGGTGTGGACGGACGTTCAACACCAGCGCGGAGAGCATTTGCTTTACACACAGTGAGCATGAGATAATGGCTGTCACTCACAGGCTAAAGAATTAATTCCAGATTCGCATCAACACTGGTGACCTCCAGATCTGTGCCGTCCGGCCTGGCCTGTTAGAGGTTCCCGACGGACCAGACTCAACGCATCCAGAGGGACCACGTTATCTCCCTTCTCTTGCTGATCTCCTGTGTACAAGCTGGGGGATGCCGCAGCGATGCCGCCGGGCCGCAACCACTCCGGCGGCGGACCCTCCAGGCCCGAGTCATCCTGGACACCTTGCTGTCCCTCGCCAACGTGTCGGGGTCCTAACTGATCTCCTACATTTGAGTCCCCCTTCCCGATGGGTCAGCACCGCTGTCCTGACTCCGGCACCCCCTTCTCGTCTACGTTACTTTGTCTTCAGCTTCTCTGGCGCCCACCTCGCTCTTCCTGCGACCCCGGCCCTCCCAGGGACCGTCTCCAGCACTTGTTAGCGGTGCGAACTTGGGCCACCTGCTCCCGACCTGGGCCTCCCCGACTCCTTGTTTGTAAAGCGGGAAGGAGGGGGCCTGCCCCGTGGGGTGGCCGCGCAGACTCGGGGGCGCATCCTGCGGAGCGCTTAGACGCGGTGCCCGGGACGGGCCAGCGCTCGCGGGCCGGCTGGTCACTACCACCCTAACCTTTGTTGTCTCGCCTCCATTTTGTTGGCGTGTTCCAGGCGGTGCCCCCACCTGGAGGACCCTTCCCCGCCCCCCCGCGCCCCTCCCCCCCCGTGCCGAGCGCCGAGCGCCGAGCGCCGAGCGCCGCCCGCCCGTCCCCGGCGTGTCCCCGCGTGTGTGACCTCGGGTCGCGGCGCCTGCCCCGCGTGCGGGCGCGACTCCTCCTCCACCGGCGCGCTAACTTCTGGGGGCAGCGGCCGCGGCCCCAGCGCGCCGGCGAGCGGTGCGGGCGCGCGGCGCCCCGCGGCCCCGCAGCCCCGAGGCCCCGGCCCCGCCCGGTGCGGGGGCGGGGCCGGGCGCGGGGGGGCGGGCGCGGGGGGGCGGGGGGCGGGGAGGGACTCTTTTTCCTCGCCGTGGCGGCGGAGGCGCACGGCGTGGGGAGCGGCGAGACGTCGTCGGAGGCGGCTGGAAAAGCCCAAGGTGCTGCCGTTGCGAGTACCAGTGGGACCCGCCGCCGCCGGAGCCGCCCCGCGGCGATGGAGCCGGCCGCCGCGCTGCCCCCGGGCCCGCGCCCCGCGCTGCCCCTCGGCGGCCCCGGCCCGCTGGGCGAGTTCCTGCCGCCCCCCGAGTGCCCGGTCTTCGAGCCCAGCTGGGAGGAGTTCGCCGACCCGTTCGCCTTCATCCACAAGATCCGGCCCATCGCCGAGCAGACGGGGATCTGTAAGGTGCGGCCGCCGCCGGTGAGTCACGCCGGCGCCCCGGAGCCCGCTCGCGGCCCGGGCGGGGAGCGAGGACGCGCGGCCGGGGAGGCCCGGGGCGCGGGGGCGGGGGCCGCGGCAAGTTCGGGGCTGCCCCGGGGTCGGCGTCGAGGCGCGGGCGGGGGCCGGGGCTCCTCCCGGGCGCTTCGGCGGGGCCGCCCCGCGGGCCCGGGAGGACGGGAGGGCGGCCCGGCCCGGGGGTGGGGGTTCGGGTTCGGTTCCGGGCGGCGCGGCGCGGCGCGCTTCCTGCCGGGGGCGGCGGCGGGCGGCGGGCGGCGGGAGGGGCGAGGGGCGGCGCGGCTCGGCGGGCCGGGGCTCGCCTCCCCCGGGTGCGGGGGTGCGCGCCGGGTGGGGGTGGGGGACTCGCGAGTTGTCGTGCGCGGACGAAAGTTTTCAATATGGCGGCGGGAGCCCCTGGTCCTTTGTGTGGCGGCGGCGGCGGCCCGGAGCGGCCCTCACCTGGGCGCCCCACCCTGCAGGCGGGGGCGCCCCCTGCCCCCCGGGCCCCGGCCTCCTGGGTCCCCCGGGCCGCGCCGCCGCAGGGGGCGCCCCGCGCTGCCGGGGGCGGGGGGGCCGCGGGGCGGGCGCCGAGCGCTGCTGCGGGGGCCGTAAGTGTGCGGGGGGCGCCGGGGGGGCGGGGGGCCGGCGCCGCGCGGGGGGGCCCGGCTGGGGGGCGGCGGACGTGTCGGGCCCGAGGCCCGGGGGCCGCCCGCGCCCGAGGCCGAGGTGCGCCCCGCCGGAGCCGCGAGCGGGCGCGGGCGCGGGGGCTGCGAGCGCGGAGTCCTCGCTAACGGCTCCAACCGGCGCCGGCCTCCCGCCCCGCCCCCACCCGGAACTGGGCGCGCGCCGACGCCCCCGCCCCCCGCCCACCTGGCGGCCCCGCCGAGCCGGAGCCTGCGGCCGGGCGGGCGCCGCTGGGGCTGCCGTCGGAGACCCCCCCCCCCCCCGCCCCCGCCCCGGCCCGGCTCGCCCTTTGTAGTGACACTTCGGTGGCGGGGGTCCTGCTGTGTCCCGCCTCCTTTCTCCCCCAAATTAAACGCAGGCTCCCTGCCTTGGTTGTCCTCCGACAAGTTTGAAGACGGAGATGAGATCCGAGCCTCGGAAGACGACTGGCCCGCGCGTCCGGGGGAAACGTTTGGAAATAGCCCGGTCTGTCTCCCGAGGCCGCTGAGGTGGCCGAGGTGGCTGCCGAGGTGGCTGAGGTGGATGAGGTGGCCGAGGAGGGTGAGGCGGCGGGCAGGTAGCTGAGGAGGATGAGGTGGATGAGGTGGATGAGGTGGGTGAGGTGGGTGAGGTGGGTGAGATGGATGAGGTGGATGAGGCGACCCAGGTGGCTGAGGTAGCTGAGGTGGATGAGGCGGTTGAGGAGGCTGAGGTGGCCGAGGAGGGTGAGGAGGCTGAGGTGGCCGAGGAGGGTGAGGAGGGTGAGGCGGGGAGGTAGCTGAGGTGGATGAGGTAGCCGAGGTGCATGAGGTGGATGAGGCGGGCGAGGAGGCCGAGGAGGGTGAGGCGGCGGGGAGGTAGCTGAGGTAGCTGAGGTGGATGAGGTGGATGAGGCGGGCGAGGAGGCCGAGGAGGCCGAGGAGGGTGAGGAGGGTGAGGAGGGTGAGGCGGGGAGGTAGCTGAGGTGGATGAGGTGGCGGAGGTAGCCAAGGTGCATGAGGTGGATGAGGCGACCCAGGCGGCTGAGGTAGCTGAGGTGGATGAGGCGGGCGAGGAGGCCGAGGAGGCCGAGGAGGGTGAGGAGGGTGAGGCGGGGAGGTAGCTGAGGTGGATGAGGCGGCTGAGGTGGCCGAGGTAGCCGAGGTAGCTGAGGTGGATGAGGCGGTGAGGAGGCCGCGCCGAGCTGGCCTTTCAGTCTTGCCGCGTAGCTGGGCCTGTGCCCCGCCGGGAAGGCGCCCCGAGTGTGCCGAGCACCCACAGTCCTGTGCGTTGACGGGGTTCCGGGCTGGTCCCCGCAGCGCGCGTGGCCGGGGGCGTCCTCCGGGCTGGCCTCGCGGCGGGAGGAGCCCGGGGCGCCGTCCTCGGCCTGCCCCCTGCAGCCACACGCACGCCGGCCACCATGTTGTGAGGCGGGCAGGGCGTCGAGGCGGGTGAGGGGGCGCCGGGAGGCCGCGCTGGAGACCCTCGTGCCCCGCCGGGGCTCCCGTCGTCCTTTGCGTGGCGAACTCTGCCGCCCGGGAAGCGCCCGTCGGGAAGCGCCCGTCGGAAGGAGCGCAGAAGGGATCTTCCCAGAAGTTGGAGCCCGGGAAGCGCCCGTTGGGTCAAGGGTCGGGACAAGGGTCGGGACGGACGGAAAGGTCTTTGTCCTTGGGGCCGCCCGGGTCCCGCCTCACGAGGCTGTGGCAAGTGGCCGCAGACCCCAGGGCCCGCGAACTCCGCCGTCCGGCCTGCGGCGCCCGCGCTGCTCGGCGACTTGTGTGCGTGACGTTCGGAGACGTTCGGAGGCGGCGGCGCCTGGGCGAGCGGGCCGGGCCGGGCCGGGCCGGGCCGAGCCGGGCCGGGCCGGGGAGGAGCCCACGCGCTTGCGCCCGCCCTCATCTCGGTATCTTTGCTTAGTGGTGTCTACACCCTCGCGTCCGTGGCTGCTCCCCGTGAGGCTCCCAGGGAACTCTCGTCCCGCTGAAAACTTGGGCTTCACGGAAATTTGGGAGCATCTAGTGAGGTAAATGCGGTGAAGGGAGCACGCTCAAAGACTTGGGTCCTGAATCGAAAGTTTAAAGAGGAACATGAACGTTTTTCAGATTACATCAAGTATGCAGGACAACCAGATTTATTTCCTGGGCTTTAAAAAAAAATTTCTTTTTTTTTTTTTTTTACTTACAATTAGTCCGACTTCTGGTTTTGCTGCCTTTAAATGTACATGCTCATTTCCTCCTTGATGTGCTTAGATGTCTTTTTAAGGACAAATTTTCCATCTTGGTTTGTGGTATTTGGAAATGATTAATATTAGGAGTGTGACCATTAGGCAAAAAGTAGTTGGCTGCTCGGGGAATACTTTTTTGGGTCTCTCAAGTTTGATTGGAATATACTTGATGGCTTTAGTAACTTTCTTTGTTGCCCTCAAACGTCTGACATTTGGCCATAGATAGGCAGATTCCACATATTTCTTCTTTGCCAGGGTCCAAAAATAAGAGATTTGAATCAAACCCCAGATGGCACAGTAAACACATTTCTTCGGCTTTAACTTCCTGTGGGTCATTATTTTGATCCCTTCATCTTTATAGCCAAAGCGAAAAACTTTGAAGTGTTTTAACACAGTCAGCGTCTTTGAGTGCGCCTGCGGGTTCTACCATTAGGAGCAGGGAGGAGCTTAACTACGCGTCTTTGTCTGGTTAGAGGCCTTAATGATCTAGAGCTCCTTTACTCCCCTCCCAGCCTATCAATCTCCCTAATTTTAGGTTTGATTGGCTTTGACCTAACCCTCTCTGTTGTTTTCCCGGTTCTTTGGTGTCCTGGAGTTTTTCTCTTGATTGTGATTCTTTAGTCACCTTAGGCCTCTTAACATTTGGAGAAAAAGGCTTATCAGTAGAAACTTCTTTGAGCAAAAGAGAAACTTACAATTACTTTAAAAAGATAACAGCTTTAGGGAGACCTGGGTGGCTCAGTGGTTGAGCATCCGCCTTGGGCTCAGGTTGTGACCCAGGGTCCCGAGATGGAGTCCCTGCAGGGGGAGCCTGCTTCTCCCTCTGCCTCTGCCTCTGTGCCTCCCCCCCCCCCCCGTGTGTCTCTCATGAATAAATAAATAAAATATTACAAAAAATAAATAACAGCTTTACTAAAATGTAACCCGTGTACCATATAACTCATGGATTTAAAATGTTATCAGTAGTAGTTTTAAGTAGTTTCAGGGCTGTAAAACCATCGCCAATGTTAGAACCAATCACAAATGTTAGAACATTTTCATCACACTTAAAAGAAACCCTGTTGTGCTCACTTATAGTTGCCTTTTTTTTTTCTTTTAAAGATTTTATTTATTCATTAGAGACACACACACAGAGGGAGGCAGAGACACAGCGAGAGAAGCAGGCTCCATGCAGCGAGCCCAATGCGGGACTCCATCCCAGGACCCCAGGATCATGCCCTGGGCCGAAGGCAGGCGCTAAACCACTGCGCCACCCAGGGATCCCCTATAACTGCCTTTTTTTTTTTTTTTTGATTTTTATTTATTTATGATAGTCACACACACACACACACAGAAAGAGGCAGAGACACAGGCAGAGGGAGAAGCAGGCTCCATGCACCAGGAGCCCGACGTGGGATTCGATCCCGGGTCTCCAGGATCGCTCCCTGGGCCAAAGGCAGGCGCCAAACTGCTGCGCCACCCAGGGATCCCTATAACTGCCTTTTAAGACAAATTTAGAACCATACTACTCAGAAGAAAAACTTTTTTTCTCACTTAGGAGGCTGAATTAAGTCCTATAGGTGTAGCTTGAAAGTGTCTGTCTTAAAGTAAAAACAAACTCTGTTTGTTATTAGTCTTTGAATGGGTGTTTAGCTGAATTTGACTTTGCCGGTGGTAAATGGTAAATTGGTCACTCTAGGAGCCATGAACCTCTCCACCTAGTTGTTAACTTTTAGTGAACTAATCAACAAAATTAATAGACTTTTAGGATATAATGTGAGTGATAGTGCAAAAAGGTGAGGCAGATCAGCTTAAGATTCATACCACCACCCCCCTCCCAAGAAAAATTTCCCTACCAGAGATTACAGGATTTGTTTTTAAACAGGCAACCTAAACCTCTTTAAAGAACAAAACAAATTGAGAATTGCCTTTGAAAAGTATTAGTGTTGTGTTAAAGTTGGGGTTTATATTCTTTCATTATTGAGATACACTGATAAAAAAAATTAGGGGAAATTTATTAGCTCTCAACTTCAATCTTTGTCTCAAAGGTCCTTAATTTTCTTTCTGATGTGTTGGCCTAAATTTAAGAGTATTTCTGTTTGATCAGCAGAACTCATTTATTTGCTTAATTTGGGGG